ACTCTCCCAAGCCTCCCATAATATACAAGGGCCGAAAGCACATGGAGAGGTCAAAACTTCGGACACATCTCTCACATGCAACTTGGGCATGGAACACTTGTCACACATGCCCCACTCTTACCCTTTAAGGTCACGTGAACCACCATGGTCAAGTGAAGAAATGCCCGGACACTACCCCCTTCACATGCACGGCAAAAAGGGAACCAAATGCACTAAAAACAACACTCACATGAGCATGCCATTACAAGACAAGGGCGCACGGTCTTCATTGCAATGGGGGAGAATCTTGGACACTCCGCCCACTAGTATTTGCACGGCAATAACAAGGAGGAGTAAGGACAAAATGGAGCAAACTCCCATGGCATGAAAGGACAAAGATGGTGCACGGCCTTCTAGCATGATGTTGGGAGAGGAATCTTGACTACACATGGCAATGCACACGGCACATTTGCACACAATGCACGTCAATTGCAAGTAAAGATGGCACAATTGCTCACGGCCATGCACATGAACTTGGACCTATAATACTAACATATAACACATAGCACACGGCATTAACACACAATGTGCACGGCTATTAGCTTGGCTTGGAATAAAATCCGAACAATTAAGCTAATCTCGTGATTAATGTAAATTAATCACTTAACTGTTTAATTATCCAATTAAACATAATGCTAAATTACCAAAATTATTTCGAACGTAAACGGTACGTCGAAAATATTCTTCGGTAATTCCGACTGTAATAACTGAAATTAATTAATTCCGAAAAATAATATCGGAACTAAAATATTATTATACTGATAAAAAGTCGGGATATTACACATTTAACCATTCAACAATTTATATTAAGTTCCTTAGCCAATGTACAATAATTTGATCACTTTATTTTGGCTAAACAATATAATGACCCAATGTATTAATTACACATATTTAATCCCAAATAGATTTAACAATCTCCCACTGGATTAAATATGTGTCCTGATAATACATTATACCTTATGAGCTCAAAATATGGTCATTATTATAGAACTTAAACAGTCTGGTCCATTAATCACAATAATATAGGACTAAAGCAGTTTTCACTGTATAGACACAGCTAAACTATCAATAATCACATATATCACCATGATTAAATGACATAGATCAAATTGTGGAACATGTGGCATGAAAATTACATGAATGTGATCAGCACATGTCGATTTTCAACTAGTCCAAACTTAGTGAGATCGTTAAGTACTAAAACATAATGTACAAAGTGTCATGAACCAAAACTTTATTTCTGATCAGAATAAGTACTTTAGACATCATCGAATAAAAATGACAAAAATATGTAGCAAATACTCCCACTAGAGTGAAGCTTCCTGAATATGTAACACACCCATATGAGCAGTATGCTCGTAAAATACCGTAGGTGTTACACCTTTAGTTAGGGGATCTGCTAACATTGATTTTGTACCTAAATGTTCGATGGAAATTTGACCACTTTGTACCTTCTCCTTCACAGATAGGAACTTAATGTCAATATGCTTTGACTTAGACGAGCTCCTATTGTTGTTCGAGTACAGAACGGCTGATTTATTGTCACAAAAAATCTTAATAGGTCTTTCAACCTCCGGAATAATTCGCAGCCTTGTGACAAAATTCCTTAACCAAATTCCCTGTTGTGAT